TATGGTTAAGTGTGTGTGTTTGTGTGGGTGTGTGTGTGTGTGTGTGTGTGCGTGCGTGCGCGTGCGTGTGTGTGTGCGCGTGCTTGCGTGCGTGTGTGTGTGTGTGTGTGTGTGTGTGTGTGTGTGGGAGTGTTCAGAAAACAGTCGTTGCAATCACGAGCTCACAGCAGCTAGAGGCATGGATGGAGGAGGTGCTCATGGGAACCTACTCCACCCTGCTGAGCTAGTAACTGCTGATGAATTCTGGGAGAGGAAGAGTCATTCTCATCCATTGTGTTCTTCCTGGTGACCCAAAATTCTCTGACAAATTGCTCTAAACCTGTTGTCACATACATGAACCTAGTTAAACTCAGTGGATCACAAAGCAAAAAACATACCAAAACAAAAAGACATGAATGTAATGAGAACACATTATACTATGCATGTATGAAATTGCCAAACAACAAATGTCATTAATAAAAGAAGAATGACATTTACATCACAATCCCAACTTCTTCCAAAGTTTTGAAAGCATTTCACTTATCTTTTTGACAATATATTCAAATACACTCTCTTCAGCCTCTTCCTGCAGATTTCTCATTTTCTCTTCATAATCTTTCTTTGCAGAATCAATGAGTGTCTTCTTTTCTTTCTCTAATTTATCAGCACATTCATTTTCTATTCTTTTGATTTCAACACTGAGTTGTTGAGCATAATTTTCCTCCAGATTCCTTAGACACTGTCTCAGCCTTCTATCAACGTCCTCATATATCTTTTCGGAAAAGTAGGACCCCCCGTTTCTGTCCACCATGTTCTCGATCAGAACTACCAGCTGCTGGACTTGACCCTCTTGCTCCGCCTTGCCCGCCTTGTTATTAAAGGCCAGGCAGCGATCCCCACACTCCAACAAGATTTTACTTAACTTGCACTCTCTGCCTAAAAAGTCATCAAGGCTCCGGTTCTCAAGGTCATCTTTGCGAGTAAACAAGACGATCATGTACTTCATGGCTGCCTCCCCAAAAAGACCCTTGATCAAATCAACGGTGTGCTGCTCTTCGTCCGTGAAGCGGCTCAGCTGCATAACCAGGATGATGGCATGAGGCCCAGGGCAGGAGTAGAGGACACAGCGACTGACTTCTGAACATGTGGTTTTCATGCTCTCCTTGGTGTCAAAGAACCCGGGAGTGTCGACTACCACAAGGTTTTTCCCCTTCCATTCCCGGGATGCTTTCTGGCAGGTCTTGGTAACAGCATGGGCAGAAATCTTAGAATCAAATTGGCGTCTCCCAAGGATGGTGTTTGCTGTGGCACTCTTTCCGTTTCCAGTTTTCCCTACCAAAATGATCCTCACCTCAGTGTTTTCACGGGCAGCCATACTGAGGCAAGTCAACTCTGAAGATCAGGAATGCTCAGATCTTAAGGAAGAGAAAGACACAGAAATTGCCTGTTAGAGAAATGGGAACGGCCCCAATCATTTCTTTTCCCTTCCTCTCTAAAATTTTTCCATGTTCTGTTATCTTTATGCATCCCCATAGAGACTAAAAGATGAAACACTGCAGTAGAAGAAATTAAACAGTACTTCCGCAGAAGAATGCCACTCCGAGTGATTCTGCAGGGAAATCCCAGTGACAAGTGCATGTCACAGTGTTTCTATAGAGGTCAGAGGATGACTTTTGTGGAGTGGGTTCTCTCTTCCCACCTTTGTGTGGGTTCTGGGCATTGATCAACTGTTGCCCCCCTTGCCCAGGAAGTGCCTTTACAAGCTGAGCCATCTCCTTAGGACCACCTGCCCCTCAGCATACTTTTAAACCCTGAGAATCTGGATGCCATCTAAACTGCTCATGATAACTTAGAAAGAATATTTCTAGTCCTGCTACCAGCCTACATGCCAATATTGGAACAGGTGCCATGCCCAATGCCAGGTCTGAGAGTGAGCGCACCCAAATCTCTGCTCTATAATGTCCAACAACTGGGAGAAACATTCTAAATCTTCAAACGTAAAGAAACAGTAAGAAAGTGGAATGGCTCATGCCCTGATTTGAGCAGTACACAGTTTAATGCGTGACTTTAAATATCAAATTGAAGTCACAAATATGTTAATAAAAAAAGAAACACATACACACAGACACACAAAAAAAACAAAACAAAAACAAAAGCAAAACAAACAACAGCCAAAAACTAGGACAGTTAAAACAATCCTGAACAACAAAGAACTGCTGGAGTTACCACCACTTCAGATTTCAAGGTGATGATTCAGATGCTTCACAAATACAGTAATACGGGAAAATGGGGCAGCAAGCAAAGCAGGGCCCCAAGCCACAGGTCTGCAGGTCTGTCCTGTGCTGTGCCTTCAGGGCAGCTATTCTGGTTTCAATAGACCCCCTCCACTCCACCTCACAGTCACACAGCTGCATTTGCACATCTGTCTGTTGTACAGTAGGGAGGAGTCAGCACACCGAATTCTAACTTTCCTCTGCCCAGGATGACCTGAGAAACTAAGAGAGTCATCAGACTCTCTGAGGTAAGAAAATGACTTATGATCTGAGTTGTCTCGCAGCTTGGAAGAAACTGCCTTGGGGACACAGAACTTTCTGTGAAGAGTATTAGGCTACACCCTGTGTCCTGCACCACAGCTCCCTATGGAGTATGTGTGTGTGCACACTGCAGCACGCTAATTCATGTCCTCATACCCCTCAGCCCCCACCAGCCCTACCACCAGCACCCCTACCTTACTCTCCCTGTGGAGCCTAGGCAGGATACCGCTAAACCCATAGATGCCCCATCCGCCTCCAGCCTCTCACAGTGCCCTTCCTCCAGGACTCTCCCCAGCGGAACTCACCTTCTTCTTCAGGAAGTGATGAGGGGTCAAGGTCTCTCCCAGGAACCTGTGTGAGACAGTGCTTCTGCTCAACAATGAAGCAAAACTGTGCACTCCAAGTCTATCAGTCAGGAAGTTCGATGGGCGGAGCCAATGAAGAAACTGTTTGCCTTTAAAACGGAAATGTTGTCCTCTAAGTGGGTGTTTCAGCTTTGTTTGTGTGTCTGCTATAATGCCACAAATTTCAAAGTCCTTTAAAAAAAATGCTTTGGGTTGGTTTTTGTTTTTTGAGATACAGTTTAGGTAGCGCAGGCTAGTCTTGAACTCACTATGTACTGAGGATGACCTTGACTTCAAAGCTGAGAACCCGATAGTTACCAGGTCCTTGAGACTGTGTACGCCAACTGTTGGAGCACTCTCACAATAGTGTCTCTCACTTGGGGGGTAGGGTGCAGCAACTGGTGGTTATTCAGAGCACAAGGCAGGGTGTCTCAGTGGTCCCAATCTGGTGCCAGGACTCCAGAATCTTCTTGAAGAGCTACTGGTCCTTAGCCCACAGTGAAAACTTGAAAATGCTTGTTCTGATACCAGCGAAGCAATCAGCAGCAGCAAGACAAATCAGCTGCAGCAGGAGGGAAGCAAAGCAGAGCGGCCTTCCTTTGCCACCTCCTTTCTCCGGGGCTGCCACCAGAAGCTGCTGTCCACAGCTCACAATCAGCAAGACAGCCAGGATAGTTCTTCAGGTGCGGCTCCCGATTCTAGTGGCTCTAATTCCAGGCAAGTGGACATGAAAACCAGTCACAATAAGGCGCCACACCAGGCTTTACACCCGTGTTTTGGTTCATGTCCAGGGTGATACTGAATATACAAAGAGGCCAAGCTCTTCAACTATTTTCCTTATGTTCTGTCTACTAATGCTAAACTTTCAGACCTCATGCAAAGCTTCTATCCATTTTTAATTAATTTGTGTGTAAGGGGAGAGGTGCAGACGTTGTCTCAGTCCTCTGCATGTGATACCATTTCCCCAGCACCATTTGCTAACTGTTCTCCAGCACATGTCTCTAGTACCTTTGTTGAAAATCAGATGGCTGTAACTGCGTGGCTTTATTTCTTGGGTCTATGTTCAAGAGAACACAAAAGAATGTTGACTTGTGTTTCTGGGTTTGTGCCAGTACCATATATGAATAATTCCTAAGTAAGAAAACAACTGAATAAAAACAGGACAAAGGCCTTGGCACAACCTCACACAGGAAGATTATTCAGATGGCAACTGTTTTGTATGGAAAGACACCATCACATGTCCTCAAGGAAGCATGAAATAGCAAGACGCCACTATCCATACACCTTCCAGAAGAGCCAAACTTCAGGACACTGATGGTGTCAAATGTCGGATCAGTGGGAATCTTCATTGGTTACTGACAGGAATGCAGAGCGGTGAGCCACTTTAGAAGACAGGCTGCCAGCATCTTACAAAATTAAATACATTCTTCCACATGATTCAGAAATTGCATTACTTGACATTTATACAAAAGAATCAAAAATGGTGCTCTTATAAAACCCCACATGTGCAGGTTTGTATCAGCTTTATGAATAATTGACAAGACTTGAAAGCAACTAAGATGCCCTTCAGTAGGTGAGTGAATGAGCAAGTTGAGTACATTCAAACAATGGGATGTTATCCAAACCCAAAGAATAAGCAAGACAGAACAGTGACTGTATCTTTGAGAAACTTAGGAGTGTATCACTAAGCAAAACTTAGTAGTAAAAATATTTCCTGATGAACATTCTGGAAAACCTGAAATTACAGAGATAGTAGAATTATCAGTAGTTGCCAGCAATTGGAGAGATGGCATACGTGAGCTCAAGGACCTTTAGGGCAGTAAAATATTCTGTGTGATGTTGTATTAGAGGATATATGTCATTATGTATTGTCCTAGCCTGTAGAATTACAACACCAAGAGTGAGATGAATGTCAGCTGTAGACGTTGTCTAACACTGCTGTGTAGCCTGAGTGATAACAAATGCACAACTCTGGTGGGCAGACTAACGACAGGGAAGGTTGTGACAGCGTGGAAGACATCTCTGTGTCTTCCTCTCAATTTTACTAATAAATTAAAGATTCTCTTTTAAGAAACAAGACAAAACATGGGGGTTATAAATGGTTCAGTGGTTAGGAGCACTTGCTGCTCTTATGGGAGCCTGGATTCAGTTCCCAGCACCCACATCAAATGCTGCATAATCACCTGGGTCCCTCTCCTGACTTCTGCAGGCTCTTGCATACAGACATGAATGCATTCACATGAATAAAAAAATAAGCAAAATGTCTTTTAAATTAAAATGAAAAATAAAAAACAAACAACAATACCAACAACAAAATCAGAGCCTGATGGTGCAGGCCTATAATTCCAACTACTTGGGAGGCTGAAGCAGGAGAATTCATAGGCTCAGCCAGCTTAAAGGATAGGCTGAGTTCAAGGCCAGCCTGGGCAACTTAGTGAGTTGCCCTGTCTCAAAATACAAATACTAAAAGAGCTGAAGATTAGCTCAGTGGTAGAGTGCTTGCTGACCATACCCAAAGCCCTGGGTTTGGTTTCTAGTGAGGAAAATAACAATTGGAGGCTATAAGAAGAACAAAGAGAGTCTAGAATCATCTCCAAAGATAATGGCTCCACACAGGCCTGAATTGGCAATGGACACAGATCGCTTCCCACCCCCAGACTTTTGGGTCTGAGGAGGCCACAATCACCCAGGAGCCTGCCTGGTGCCAGAGGTCATTATACCAAGTAATACCCAGGGTCTCTAGGCCCCAGCTCAGGAGAGAGGAAAGATAACAGCTCTGAGCCATCCTGTATGACTAGGATGGGTAGTATTCAACTAATTACCATCTATGACCCAATCAAAAGCCCTGGTGCTGGGCAGATGGGCACCATTGTGGTGGAAGAGTAGATTATCGAGTGAAAAAGAGGGAGAGGCAGAATGGTTTGTGGGCTGGGGATAGAGGTGGATCCAGGAAGGTGAGGGTGGTGAGAAACAGGCTGACATGAATGGCCAGCGGGCCACCCCAGTCCAGTGAGATGTCTGGGCCTGGACTATGACCAAGTGCCAGGTATTGATCCAGGGCCCTGGAACAGCACAGGGAGCATGAGTTGATGTCTATGGCTCCTTCTGTTGTCACTGGGGGCCCATGTTGGTGTCCAAGGGCCCCACTGCCACGGAGGCCATGCCAATCTGGGTGGCCTGCACGAGACAGGGGTGGGTGGCCTATGGTGACAACCTGGCCTGGGCTGCTGTCAAGGACCATGTCTGGGTCTATGGTCCTGCTGCCGCCGTAGTCTGTGTAAATATCCCCCATGTTGCTAGAACTTAAAGGACAATATTGAAGAGGTATGGAGAGAGTGGACAGCCTTGTCTTGTCCCCAATTTTAGAGGAATTGAATGGAGTTTCTCTCCATTTAATTTGATGTTGGCTTGCTGTATATTGCTTTTATTATGTTGAGGTATGTTCCTGTTATCCCTGATCTCTCCAAGACCTTTATCATGAAGGGGTGTTGGATTTT